CTGCATATATCCTCTGGCGGATCCCTCTACCACGGGGGGTATGATCTCAGGGGCCACGAATACCTGTCACTGTCTGCTCCAAGTCCATCCCCACCATCAGGGGGGATATGATCCTGGTGAACAAGCAGACTGGGACTTATGACTCCATGCTCCATAAGGGGGGATCCTGTCCTGTGGACTGCTAGAGGGGGGTGGTGTCTGACAGGGACAGTGGTGGATAAAGAATCTGGGAGATATGATCTCAATGGTGGAGAAGGATAAGGGGGGGGCAATTGTGAAGGAGGATCTGGGGGGTCATGGATGGAGAAGAATCTGGGGGGGGGGGTCCAATGGTGGAGAATACATTAAGGGGGTGGGTCAATGATGAAGAATCTGGGGGGGGGGGGATATGGTGGAGAAGAAAGGGGGGATATGGGGGGGGGGGGGTACAAAGGGGGAGATATGGATCATGTATAATCATAAGGGGGGATCTGGGGTTCTGGTAGATCACATAAGGGGGGAATGCAAAGCTACGGTATTCTAAAGCGAGGGAAATGATCCTCTCTTGTATAGGAGAGGTATAGACTCCAGAAAGGGGGATATGATCTCCATGTATACAAATCATTAGTAAGACCTCATCTGGAATATATAATACAGTTCAGGGGGGATATGGGCTCCAATTCATAAAAAGAATAATTGGGGATATGATCTGGATGTATAATACAGAGAAGGGGGGGACTAAACTGATCTCCATGTATAATACTATGAGGGGGATATGAGGAACCATGTATTCTCTACTGATAAGAGGGGGGGGATATGATCTCCATGTATAATACATAAGGGGGGGATATGATCTCCATGTATAATACATAAGGGGGGATATGATCTCCATGTATAATACATAAGGGGGGATATGATCTCCATGTATAATACATAAGGGGGGATATGATCTCCATGTATAATACATAAGGGGGGATATGATCTCCATGTATAATACATAAGGGGGGATATGATCTCCATGTATAATACATAAGGGGGGATATGATCTCCATGTATAATACATAAGGGGGGATATGATCTCCATGTATAATACATAAGGGGGGATATGATCTCCATGTATAATACATAAGGGGGGATATGATCTCCATGTATAATACATAAGGGGGGATATGATCTCCATGTATAATACATAAGGGGGGGGATATGATCTCCATGTATAATACATAAGGGGGGGATATGATCTCCATGTATAATACATAAGGGGGGATATGATCTCCATGTATAATACATAAGGGGGGGGATATGATCTCCATGTATAATACATAAGGGGGGATATGATCTCCATGTATAATACATAAGGGGGGATATGATCTCCATGTATAATACATAAGGGGGGATATGATCTCCATGTATAATACATAAGGGGGGATATGATCTCCATGTATAATACATAAGGGGGGATATGATCTCCATGTATAATACATAAGGGGGATATGATCTCCATGTATAATACATAAGGGGGGATATGATCTCCATGTATAATACATAAGGGGGGATATGATCTCCATGTATAATACATAAGGGGGGATATGATCTCCATGTATAATACATAAGGGGGGGGATATGATCTCCATGTATAATACATAAGGGGGGATATGATCTCCATGTATAATACATAAGGGGGGGGATATGATCTCCATGTATAATACATAAGGGGGGATATGATCTCCATGTATAATACATAAGGGGGGATATGATCTCCATGTATAATACATAAGGGGGGGGGATATGATCTCCATGTATAATACATAAGGGGGGATATGATCTCCATGTATAATACATATAAGGGGGGATATGATCTCCATGTATAATACATAAGGGGGGATATGATCTCCATGTATAATACATAAGGGGGGATATGATCTCCATGTATAATACATAAGGGGGGATATGATCTCCATGTATAATACATAAGGGGGGATATGATCTCCATGTATAATACATAAGGGGGGATATGATCTCCATGTATAATACATAAGGGGGGATATGATCTCCATGTATAATACATAAGGGGGGATATGATCTCCATGTATAATACATAAGGGGGGATATGATCTCCATGTATAATACATAAGGGGGGGATATGATCTCCATGTATAATACATAAGGGGATATGATCTCCATGTATAATACATAAGGGGGGGATATGATCTCCATGTATAATACATAAGGGGGGGGATATGATCTCCATGTATAATACATAAGGGGGGGATATGATCTCCATGTATAATACATAAGGGGGGATATGATCTCCATGTATAATACATAAGGGGGGGATATGATCTCCATGTATATAATACATAAGGGGGGATATGATCTCCATGTATAATACATAAGGGGGGGGGGATATGATCTCCATGTATAATACATAAGGGGGGATATGATCTCCATGTATAATACATAAGGGGGGATATGATCTCCATGTATAATACATAAGGGGGGATATGATCTCCATGTATAATACATAAGGGGGGGATATGATCTCCATGTATAATACATAAGGGGGGGATATGATCTCCATGTATAATACATAAGGGGGGATATGATCTCCATGTATAATACATAAGGGGGGATATGATCTCCATGTATAATACATAAGGGGGGATATGATCTCCATGTATAATACATAAGGGGGGGATATGATCTCCATGTATAATACACATAAGGGGGGATATGATCTCCATGTATAATACATAAGGGGGGATATGATCTCCATGTATAATACATAAGGGGGGGGGATATGATCTCCATGTATAATACATAAGGGGGGATATGATCTCCATGTATAATACATAAGGGGGGATATGATCTCCATGTATAATACATAAGGGGGGGGGATATGATCTCCATGTATAATACATAAGGGGGGATATGATCTCCATGTATAATACATAAGGGGGGATATGATCTCCATGTATAATACATAAGGGGGGATATGATCTCCATGTATAATACATAAGGGGGATATGATCTCCATGTATAATACATAAGGGGGGGGGGGATATGATCTCCATGTATAATACATAAGGGGGGATATGATCTCCATGTATAATACATAAGGGGGGGGGATATGATCTCCATGTATAATACATAAGGGGGGGATATGATCTCCATGTATAATACATAAGGGGGGATATGATCTCCATGTATAATACATAAGGGGGGATATGATCTCCATGTATAATACATAAGGGGGGGGGGATATGATCTCCATGTATAATACATAAGGGGGGATATGATCTCCATGTATAATACATAATAAGGGGGGGATATGATCTCCATGTATAATACATAAGGGGGGGATATGATCTCCATGTATAATACATAAGGGGGGATATGATCTCCATGTATAATACATAAGGGGGGATATGATCTCCATGTATAATACATAAGGGGGGATATGATCTCCATGTATAATACATAAGGGGGGATATGATCTCCATGTATAATACATAAGGGGGGGATATGATCTCCATGTATAATACATAAGGGGGGATATGATCTCCATGTATAATACATAAGGGGGGATTGCTGTAGGAAAGTCCTGGATTTTTCTTGGATACACAGAATATAACTGGATATAACATTTATAGGGAAAGTTGATCCAGGGAATATCCGATTGCCTCTCGGGGGGTCAGGAAGGAATTTTTTTCCCCTGCAGGAGCAGATTGGATCGTGCTTTGCTGGGTTTTTTGCCTTCTGGTGGATCAGCTGTGGGTGTCGGATTATAACTTTTATTTTTAATGGTACAACTAGATGGAATGTCTTTTTTCAGCCAGACTAACTATGTAACTATGTAGGTCCCACACCGCTGCCTCCCATCTCCTGAGACTGCACTCAGTGACTTGGGTCTGAGACACTACAGACATATCCCTCCACCCGGCACAGCCAGCAGATAACAGAGAAGGTCCCCTGGAAGAGTCAGGCACAAGGCAGGAGACCCCAGTCACATGTCCTGGGTGCCTACATTATGCAATGCTTAGAGTAAAAATCAACATTTTGCTGCCAGCTGAACCCCAGAACCTCCATAAATCCAGTCTAGATACATAAATTGTGTCTGCAGCACAGAGAAGGAAGATTATCCGAGAGAAATCCAGGAATACAGGACGGGGGAACACAGCTCAGGAAAGTGACCAGGGGATTACAGGCTGATATCACCCAGTCCCCGCCCTACTCTGGACCAATCAGTGAGCAGTATGGGTGGAGGAATGGATTTAGTGTTCATGACCCACCTGTGCTGATCTCTGTAGGAGTGTCCTCCTCTATAAATGTCCCCGTTATTCCATCCTCCTCCATAGACTGCTGATCATCCCTCACATACGCCTCTTCTTCTTCTGCTTTCACCTCAAATTCTATATCGATTGGATCTCCACTCTAAATCAAGGAAATGAGAGAAAATATCATCTGAAGCTCACATAAAAGAACTGCACACATTATCTCTAAGAATCCATGTTCTAGTCAGGGGTGGCTAAACTGTGGCTCTCCAGCTGTTGTGGAACTACATTTCCCATGAGGCATTGCAAAGATGGGAAGTTACAAGCATGACTCTACAGGTCTCATGAGACATTGCAAAGCATGATGAAACTTGTAGTCCTGCAGCAGCTGGAGAGCCGCAGGTTGGCCACCCCTGTTCTAGATGCTCCATCCCACCAACCTTGCAATGGGGAGGGATGGTGTGACCTTCCTTTGTTGAATCCCGGGAATACAGAGGACGGAGACATCTCTCTGGTGGGTTCCTGGTATTAGGTGGCTCCATCATATCCTTGTGTCCTTCTGAAAACTCCTCCATCACTCCATACTCCTCATCCTCCTCTTTATACTCTTCTTTAACATCAATATTATCATCCCCGAGGATTCCACTCTGAAAGATATAATAAAACATTCATTGTAACAAACATGCTGTGTATAAATCACAACTACCAATAATTGTCATCATCTACCTGATGATGGTGAGGGATGGTGTGACCTTCCTGTGTGGAATCCCGGGAATACAGAGGACGGGGACATCTCTCTGGTGGGTTCCCATGACTGGATCCATCTGTAGGAAACACACACACTGACTGAATCCATTGTTTCTATATGTGTTTATCAGATGATGGGGATCTAGGTGGATCCTCCGTACTGCTCTCTCCTTTACAATAAAGTCTCCTCTTACCCGGTGATGTGAGGGGCGGCTGATTGTCCATCATGACGTCCTTGTAGAGATCCTTGTGTCCTTCTAAATACTCCCACTCCTCCATGGAGAAATAGACAGTGACACCCTGACACCTTATAGGAACCTGACACACACAATGATACAGTCACCATCCAGACACATCCCTTGTCTGTTACTGGAGAATGTCCCAGAATTCCCGGCACCGCTCACCTCTCCTGTCAGCAGCTCAGTGATCTCTCTGGTGACTTCTAGAATCTTCTTCTTCTTTCTCTCTTCTATCAGGGAGGGAGGTGGAGGCAATGTGATGTCATATGATCTCCAGACTTCACAGGAGGAAAACTCTACATCTGAACACAAATAGTCACATCAAATGATATTCCCAGAATCCTCCTCACCTCTCCATTCAGGTCTCCATTTTATTAAGCCCCACTTCAGGCTGAGGTATAATTCCCCCCCACAGGACCCCCACACTACGCAGGGTATAAGGAATTCTGACGTCATAACACAACGCAGGATCTACAGTTCTGATTTGCTTATGAGGATGCCAAGGGGCCCCACATCCTAATACCATAGAATAAGAAGAAAAAGGAGATAAATTATTATTATTATTATACAGGATTTATATGGCGCCAACAGTGTGCTCAGCGCTGTACAGAATGAAGGCAGACATTACAGTTACAATACAATTTGGTAGCAGAGGAAGCAGAGGGCCGGCTTGTTAGAGCTGACAATCTAGGAGATCATTCCTTTATGTCTAATACATTTTTAATTCCATCTGTTCCATGTTACATGTCAGTGATGGTGATGTCACAGTGTCCATGGTAACCCCACGGGGCCATCCAGTCTTGTTGTTTCTGCTATGTTAGCCTTCAGTTCCATCCTTTCCCATAGATCTTCATTTATGTCCTTTTCTAGCTCTCCTGTCCCTGATGCCAGTTACCTACAAACCAGTTTTGATGCCAAACTTCGATTTAGGATTTGTCAGTCTTTGGTCTACAATACATTTTAGTCATCTGAATTATTTTAGTTTTAGTCGTATTTTAGTCGACTCAAATAGTTTAGTCAACAAAATGAACACGGCTTGAAACTGCAGCCGAGGGCCGGAAACAGCCCTTTGCTTGCCTTTATCTAGCCCCCGGGGCACTATTCCCCCCATTGACACCAATGATGGGGCATCATTTCTGACTCTTACACCAACAATAGATCACTATCCCCCCCACCAATACCACCGATGGGGCACTATTCCTTCCACTGACATCAACCACAGGTCACTAGTCCCCCAATGACACCAATGATGGGGCATCATTTCTGACTCTTACACCAACAATAGATCACTATCTTCCCCCCACCAATACCATCGATGGGGCACTATTCCTTCCACTGACATCAACCACAGGTCACTATTCCCCCCCATGACACCAATGATGGGACACTGTTTACTCCCACTGATGCCAGGATGTTTTCTACTATCACTGTCCACAGTCAGACCCCCTGAAGTCTGAAGACAGTAAACTGGCCCTTTGTTTAGAAAGTTTGGAGACCCCGATATATGATATAATTTTATCGGTCATTCCTAGAGGGACATTAGGAGGAGGAGCTGTGAGGTCAGTGTGATGTCATAGGATTCTCTGACTCTGGATGGAGGGACATTGGGAGGAGGAGCTGTGAGGTCAGTGTGATGTCATAGGATTCTCTGACTCTGGATGGAGGGACACATTGGGAGGAGGAGCTGTGAGGTCAGTGTGATGTCATAGGACTCTCTGACTCTGGATGGAGGGACATTGGGAGGAGGAGCTGTGAGGTCAGTGTGATGTCATAGGATTCTCTGACTCTGGATGGAGGGACATTGGGGTCAGGGAGGAGCTGTGAGGTCAGTGTGTGTCATAGGATTCTCTGACTCTGGATGGAGGGACATTGGGAGGAGGAGCTGTGAGGTCAGTGTGATGTCATAGGATTCTCTGACTCTGGATGGAGGGACATTGGGAGGAGGAGGAGCTGTGAGGTCAGTGTGATGTCATAGGATTCTCTGACTCTGGATGGAGGGACATTGGGAGGAGCTGTGAGGTCAGTGTGATGTCATAGGATTCTCTGACTCTGGATGGAGGAACATTGGGAGGAGGAGCTGTGAGGTCAGTGTGATGTCATAGGATTCTTGACTCTGACTCTGGAGGAGGAGGAACATTGGGAGGAGGAGCTGTGAGGTCAGTGTGATGTCATAGGACTTCTAGACTCTGGATGGAGGAACATTGGGAGGAGGAGCTGTGAGGTCAGTGTGATGTCATAGGAATCTCTGACTCTAGTTGGAGGGACATTGGGAGGAGGAGCTGTGAGGTCAGTGTGATGTCATAGGACTTATAGACTCTGGATGGAGGAACATTGGGAGGAGGAGTTGTGAGGTCAGTGTGATTTTTAGGATTCTCCATCCCCCGCAACTAATAAAAGTCATATAATCCATTAGTATAGACTGGATGAGGTGAGAAGGTGACACCTCTCCACAATGAGGAGAATGTTCCGGCCCCGGAAGTGGGGGAATGTTCTGCCCCTGAAGGGGTTAATCTGGGTTCCCACACTATATATGTGTGTATCATCATCTGCTGGAGATAAAAGATGTCACAGTGACTATGGAGGAAGAGGACGGACGTGACTATGGAGGAAGAGGACGGACGTGACTATGGAGGAAGAGGACGGACGTGACTTTAGGAAAGAGGACGGACGTGACTATGGAGGAAGAGGACGGACGGACGTGCTATGGGGGAAGAGGACGGACGTGACTATGGAGGAAGAGGACGGACGTGACTATGGAGGAAGAGGACGGACGTGACTATGGAGGAAGAGGATGGACATGATGGGGGGGGTTACTGGTTGCAAATAGGAAATCTCCTAGATTGTAAGCTCCCAGGATCAGGGCCCTCCTATCCCTCTTGTATTGAACTGTATTGATCTGTATTGTCTCCCGTTATATTGTAAAGCTCTGAGCAAAACTGTTGGGCGCCATAAATCCTGTATAATAATAACATCTTATTACCTCCTCTGCTGCCACTTCCACCAATGTCTCCTCTCTGCTTCCTGCTGCCTCACTTCTCACCCGTTACTTCCTGTCTGTACCTGACATCACTTCTGTCTGTCTTCCATAGAGACTTCCTGTCTGGGTAGAAGTGAGATCCCCACCTTGTGGAGATCAGAGGAACTGCAGCCCCGAGAAGCGTCTGGTAGTGTGACCCCGGCCTTGTGCTGGGTGTGTATGGACTGTAGATCCTTATAGAGGGGTCACCTCCACTCCCACCAAGGGGGACAGAATATATGACTGCCTAGTCCAGCCTTCCTCAGTCAGGGTTCCTCCAAAGGTTTCTCGGGGTTCCTTCAGCAATGAACAATTCCTGTGTGAATCTGTCAGATTACAAGTCCCCATTATCTGGGTAAGGGGGTGTCAATCATCGCACGTCGCTGACATTTATAAATCTAGAGCAGAGTATGAAATGTTCTGCAGATGACATTTCCCTCCCGGGATTCCTTCCCCCACCCCACAGTACATAGCGCCCCCTCCTGTATTGTGGGGGGACTCTGGAAATGAAGTTTTATCGGCAGCTCAATGTGTGTCATTATCGGTCACTCTGCTGTCACCCCCCCATCCGGTGTTCTCCCAGGTTTGTGTTAGTAGAAGAACATCATGTGACCGTGTATTCCTGGAACTCTTCACACTCAGCCGATGCGGGGCCGCTGCGTTTTTCAAAATCCTGCTTGTCACATCTTTGCTGCAGGTTTGGGGTGGTAAGAAAACGCTCCAAGAACGCCCCTCCCCCATTGAAATCAATGGAAACCGCCGCAGAACAAACCAACAATGCCCCCACGGTGAGGGTTTGGTGCGGATTTTGAGTCACATGATCTTTAAAAAGTGCAATGCAAACACGGTAAAAACATGGCAGAAATGCAGCAAAAAGTCATACGTGTCCCGTGATCAGTGTGGGAGGAGCCTTCATGTCACTTTTGTTGCAGCACATTCTACAGTGAGAATGGAAACAATTCATAACCCCTCCCCCACCTCAACAAAACGCATCCCAGACTCCTACACACTGCAAAACCAGCTCTGGCAGTGAGAGGGTTAATGTGGGCTAGATGGGATCCCTCTGCTGGGGTGACATTAGAGCTCCCCCTAGCTGCAGCCTGGTAATAACATTGCTGGGAGGTCTATTCATTTCTCTGCTCCATACTTCCCGTCTTTATATCTGAATTCCATCTTTATATGAGCAGAAAATGAATGGAATAGTAAATCTAATCATAATCCCGCCCCCCAGAGTACTGCTCACCAAGTCCCGCCCCCACAGGGTACTGCTCACCAAGTCCCGCCCCCACAGAGTCTTATTCTCCCAAGTCCCACCCCCACAGAGTACAGACACATAGAAAGGGAAATGGAAGCTAATAGGCTGCAGGAGATCCGCTGAGACTTAGAAAGGGAAATGGGAGCTAATAGGCTGCAGATCTGCTGAGAGATAGAAAGGGAAATGGGTGCTAATAGGCTGCAGGGGATCCGCTGAGACATAGAGAGGGAAATGGGTGCTAATAGGCTGCAGGAGATCTGCTGAGACATAGAAAGGGAAATGGGTGCTAATAGGCTGCAGGAGATCCGCTGAGACATAGAGAGGGAAATGGGTGCTAATAGGCTGCAGGAGATCCGCTGAGACATAGAGAGGGAAATGGGTGCTAATAGGCTGCAGGAGATCTGCTGAGACATAGAGAGGGAAATGGGAGCTAATAGGCTGCAGGAGATCCGCTGAGACATAGAGAGGGAAATGGGTGCTAATAGGCTGCAGGAGATCTGCTGAGACATAGAGAGGGAAATGGGTGCTAATAGGCTGCAGGAGATCCGCTGAGACATAGAGAGGGAAATGGGCACTAATAGGCTGCAGGCGTGTGCACAGGGTGTTATGAATGTGTCTGATTACTCCCTGATCACCCCGTTCACATTGGCATTGTGGCTGTGTGTGGAGGTTGGGGGATGGGAAAGGTCCTCCAATGAGCAGCTGATAAGTGTGGAAGATTTCTCCTTCGCTCTGAATCTGCAGGCAGGGAGGTCATGTGTGTTGGGGGAGGGGATCAGAAACATCTCCTCTCTGAATGGCAGAGGGCCTCCATGTATGTATGAAGATTGCATTGTCTGTGTCCCCCAATCATTAACAGAGGAAACATCTCTGGAAATGGAAACCTCCGGAGAGAGGGAACAGCAACAGAAATGTCGGCCAATCAGATGCGGGTAAATACTCTAAGCCA